GTGATTTAACTGCCCTTTTCTATGCCTGAGCTCCTCATTTTTAAGCTCAGAACTTTTAGCTCAACACTAGTACAAAAAGTACATTGCGAAAAATGGGGTGCAGCCTCTCAGCAAGCAAGCAAGGCTGCAAATTCTGAAGATTAGCTTTGGCTCAGGTCTATATTTGCAATTGCCAGATACTTCCAATCAACTTTGGGTGCTCTCTCAGCCCATGGGCAATGTAATGATAGGAATTGAATGAACATCCATCCTTGGCTCATGTTGCTGATAATGTTTTGAATTTCCCCACCAGTCTCATTTAGAAGCCCATCATAATGTTTCCTACGTAACGGAAATGGATGTGAACCTAATGGTATAAATGGCAGGACCCCGGGGAAGCACTAAGTGTGCAGTAAAGCTTTTCTACCTGGAGCTTGCAACTGCTTTCTCCATTCCAAGGGGCTATCCCTAAAGATATATACGTTTCCCCTCTGAGATGCACTGGCACTCAAACTCTTATTTTTACATTTTCTTTCCTCTTCAGTTTCAAGACTAATGGATGTTTGCATTCCAGATCCCATCTGGGAATACCTGATGGTGTGTGCAACTGCTAATGCTCAGCCCTTGGAAACTCTGAGCTCTGACATGCTCACATGTAGAAATTGAACTTCTTCTGCTGTTCTTGTTTCTTTCTGCTATAAGAAGTAAGTTCTATTGTATTCCAAATTCACCTGCATTAGCCTTCAAGAATAAGTTCAGAAAATAAGGCTGGAATGAGTTCCACTGCATTGAATAATTAGGGAGAGAGAAATCTGTTGATTCAGATTCTCTAAGTTCATCGTATTTCCTATATTAATTTCAGTTTGCCACATTTCCACATATGTTTTCTTTCTTTCTTTCTTTCTTTCTTTCTTTCTTTCTTTCTTTCTAATATATATCAGTATTTATTGTGCACTTGTCCTATTTATATATTTGGAATTCTGCTGAATACATTTCGTTTTTCTTAGTGGTAAACTAAAAACATAATCTGGGACAGGGAAGATAAACAACAGGAAAAATAGTGAAAAGTGAAGGGTTTTTTAAATTTCTCATTGAAATGAAAGAATGCAATGTGCAGTCCATATATATTATTAAGGAAGATTCAGACAGAAAAATGGAGATTTCTTTCGAAGTGTGAAATCCATTTGATCTAATTGATTTGACTGTGAGTCGTTAATCTTTAATTATAATAGTAAATTGATAGATTATGTTTAATTGCAGATAAATATTTATACATTATATATACATTACACGCACGCACACAATCTATCAATTTGCTACATGATATTACCTGAAATGTATACTTATTGAGAGATAATTTTATATATTTAACTTTAAATATTCAAAAGAATAATATTGCATTTCTCTGTGTTATTTTAAACTAATATATGCATTTTATGCAACATTTTCCCCAAATACAGGAATCTTTGTAAATGTAAAAATGAATAATAAAATTCAGAAAAATGAGATTTTCTAAGAATAGCTGCACTTCAGTATGTTAGTAGTTTCAGAAAGTGCAAATTTGGTATGTCCGCATTAAAATCTGAAAGAAACAGAATTCTGTCCCCTGTATCCCTAGAGATAGTGAGCTTGCCACCACTATTGCTTACCTGGTCTTTATTGCTAACAGATGAGAAAGAAACACTGAGATATGGTTGCTACTGTAGCCCTACTCTTTTTCTTCACGTGATTAAAATAATGTGAAAAGTGGGGGTTTGCAGCAGAGGTCACTTTCTAGCTCGGTAGGTTCTTTGTGCATTTGGGGGTCTGGTTTTCCAGGATTCTACAGTCACAACCACACCATACATTTAAAGCATATTTATACCACTTTAACAGTCAGGGCTTCTCCCACTGAATGCTTGGAACTGTTGTTTACTACAATTCCCAGTATTCTTTGCAGGGAGAGACCATGACTGCTAAAGTAGTATAAGAGTTCTTTAAATGTATGTTGTGGGTGTGACCTAAATCATGTGGAGAGCCTACATGGGTAGACCAGGCTCGCCTTTTCAGAAGTTATCCATAAAACTCATTGAATAAGCAGGAACAAGCATGTTAGCTTTTTCTGCTATTCCTACCACACTCCCTGAGTTGCAGAGACAACTTCTGAACTGGGGAGCCTGGTCTCTTCCTTCACACATGATGCAAGTGTCTCTAAAGCAAACACTTAAAGCAGTGAAAATTGTGCATCTAAAATGCATCTGTAAACCTGATGGGAAGACCAAGTTGACAGAGGATGTAACGGTATAGACACAGTATAAACTGTGTGTGAATTTATAACATGTTTTAGTCTGTTCTTAGTTTATGGTTGGTTTTTATTGGTTAAAAATGTTTTAAATAGTTGTTTTCAATTGTTTTTACAAGGGACGCGGGTGGTGCTGTGGGTAAAACCTCAGTGCCTAGGACTTGCCGATCGTATGGTCAGCGGTTCGAATCCCCGCGGCGGGGTGAGCTCCCGTCTTTCGGTCCCAGCTCCTGCCCACCTAGCAGTTCGAAAGCACTCTTAAGTGCAAGTAGATAAATAGGGACCGCTTTATAGCAGGAAGGTAAATGGCGTTTCTGTGTGCGGCACTGGTGCTGGCTCTCCAGCTGCAGCTTCGTCACGCTGGCCACGTGACCTGGAAGTGTCTTCGGACGGCGCCGGCTCCCAGCCTCTTGAGCGAGATGAGTGCGCAACCCTAGAGTCGGTCACGACTGGCCCGTACGGGCAGGGGTACCTTTACCTTCACCTTTCAATTGTTTTTACTGATAATCTTGTTTTATTCCAATTTGAGGGAATTATTATTATCATTATTACCATTCAGGGCTCTGCAAATTTTATGAAATAAATCAATAAAGAGGACATGTGATTCCCAACACAAAATTTGCATCTTGTTGGTCTACAATGTGTGTAAAGCAGCAGCACTCCAATTCCGTCATTCAAAACCGTAGCTGAATTCAAGGTTTGTGTGTTTTCATCATTAATGGCTCATTTAATGGACTAACCAAAAGAGCAGGATCCAATTTGCCAGTGCAGACTCCATTGCCCTTAATTAGTTACCTCCATTCTCCATATCCAGTTAACTAAATTGCCCTCTTTACTTCTCTTTCGTCTCTGCTCCTGTCCGAGAACAATACTCATTTTACAACATGTCTGAGTTACCTGTTAAGAAAGTAAGCACTGATGTAACCTTTAATGAACTGGGCGCTGCTATGCTGCTAAAATAATGTGTCTTTCTGCTCTCCTGGATACATATCCTTTCACTCAAATCTTAGTTAAATCAGGAAAATGTTTGAAGTTGCTTTATTTTTCCCAGACAATAATTTGAAAAGCTTCCACTTCTCTTTATTTCTAGAACTGCCACTGAACTCATTCTTCTTACCCCTCATCCACTCTGACTCATTCTCCTCTCTGTTCCCTAATGGCTTTCTGTTGGCCTATCCCTGAGTAATGTACCATTTTTGAAATGATTCACGACAGCACATTTTTAGTGTTTCTTTTTGTTTTTAAGCCAAAAAAAGAAAAATGGGCTGCATTTCACTCTGGGCCGATGGGGGTGCAGGGCAGTGAGACACAGATGGACCTTCAACCATGGCTAGAGATGGATAAGAAATTCAACAGTTTGCATTCAAAGCCTACCTAATTCATGCTTTCTGAAACTATGCAAGAACTGAAATGCAGTCATCCCATGTAATTTGATGAATTTTGCGATGCAATTCGTCAGCCAAATAATGTGTACAAAATGCATATATTAGTGAAAATAACATTCAGCAATGATTTCTATTAGGGAAAATTGTTCTGCAAAAATTGTTTATTAGGCAAAGTTGCATACAACCCTGTATATTAGTAGAAATCTGTACTAAGATACTGATTTTAAAAAAATTACAAACTGATGTGGAAATGCAGAGAACCAAACATAAGAGTGAAAACGAATGAGAAACTGAAATTGACAGAATCACCCATCCATGGCACTCTGCTTAATGAGCTGCTCCAGGCAACTTCCCAGTCCCATAATGAATGCAAAAAGGCTGGTATCCCACTCATTCAGCTTTAAATAGCCATGCCTTCCCCGAAAGAATCCTGGAAAGTGTAGTTTGTTGAAGGTGCTAAGAGTTGTTAGGAGACCCTTATTCCCCACACAGAGCTACAATTACAGCATTCCCTGAGAAGAGGAACTGATCATTAAACCATTGTGGAATTGCACCTCTGGGAGTGGAACAGGGGTCTCTTAACAACCCTCAGCCTCCTCAACAAGCTATAGTTCCCAAGATTCTTTGAGGGGAGCCATGATTGTTTAAAGTTGTATAATAGAGCTTCAAATGTATAGTGAAGACTGGGGCTACAGGAAACTGAAACTGACAGATTTGTTCATCCCTATTCAGAAGTAAGCCCCCTTGAGTTCAGTTATGCTTACTTCCAGGTAAGTGGGTATAGGATTGCAGCCTGTGTGTATTTTTCATCAGTGCACTCCATTCTGTGGAGGGAAAACCTCATTTGAACTAGTTCTGAGCAGAAACCTAAATCACACAGACATTGTAAATAATTTAGAAAAATGTGCATGCTTGGAAGAATTGGTACAGGTGGACTTTCCTCCTGGGTTTTGCACTCACTGATGCTCAAGGCAATTCAATATCACAGGAGAGAGCTGGTTACCCTTTTGCAGCTGAAAAAACACAAATTATAGCATTTTTTTTAATACTGAAAGAGCACCGTGTGCTTGCTGTTTTATCACCAGTGTTTCATTCCTTCAGCCAATTGCTACAGGCCAATTCTGTGTAGTGAGTGATTCTTCCTCTCTCCTGGCTCTTTTGGAGCAAAGTTATTAATCTAGGAAAAGAAATGAGAGTAAACTGAAGTTTACTAAGCGAGAGACGAAGCTGGTGTAGCAAAGCCTAGAGCAGAAGGAGGAGGGAAAGGAGGAGGAGGAGGGTGTGTGAAGATGAGAGGGTGTGTGTGTGTGTGTGTGTGAGAGAGAGAGAGAGAGAGAGAGAGAGAGAGAGAGAGAGCTAGGATAGCTCAGTCGGTAGAGCATGAGACTCTTAATCTCAGGGTCACGGGTTCAAGCTCCATCGTGTTGGGCAAAATATTCCTGCATTGCAGGGGGTTGGATCCAAATAGTCTCCAGTATACTCTGTGCCTCTATGGATGCTGGAGACACTTGTTTCATGTTTTCATTCTGTCCCCAGACTTACCTGTCCTTGCTTTCTAAGTAAAACTGTTCAGTGATGACATCAGGACAGGACTTTTTGAGAGAAGTCTAGGGCCTCACTCATAATTTCCAGATCAGGCCAAAGGCCCATCTAGTCTAGTGTCCTGTTTGTACAGCAGCCTATCAGATGCCAGTGGGAAACACAAAAGCAGGACTTTAGTACAATAGAACTCTCCCAACTTGTGATTCCCAGCAACTGGTATTCAGAGGCATACTGCCTCCGATAGTGGTAGCCATCATAGTTAGAGCTATTTATAGCTTATGCTTTATTAATTTTATTCTTAACCTATTTTAAGCTTATCCAAATTGGTAGCTGCTAATGTGTCTGGTGGGGACAAGTTCCATAGTGTAAAGAAATACTATCTCTTGACTGTCCTCAGTCTTCCAATAACCAGTGTCACAGGGTGACCCTGCATTCTAGTATTATGAAAGCATGAGGAGGGGAAAAAACTTTACCTGTCTATCTGCTTTTTCCACGCCATAAATAATTCTCCACACTCATCAGAATGAGCAAGCAGGCCCTGAAGCAAGATAATGGCTACCACATTTTGAAGAAAGTGAAGTAATACACATTCAATATCTAAATTGCCCACTCTCCAATAAGAAAAATTCACAATCTGAGAAGTAAGTCACGTAATGTACATTAGCACCTAAAGAAAGTACGTACAGTGGTACCTCGGGTTACATATGCTTCAGGTTACATACGCTTCAGGTTACAGACTCTGCTAACCCAGAAATAGTTCTTCAGGTTAAGAACTTTGCTTCAGGATGAGAACAGAAATCGTGCTCCGGCGGCGTGGCTGCAGCAGGAGGCCCCATTAGCTAACATGGTGCTTCAGGTAAAGAACAGTTTCAGGTTAAGAACGGACCTCCGGAACGAATTAAGTACTTAACCTGAGGTACCACTGTATATGTAAAGCCATTACATCCCAAACCTAAAACTGCCTAACTGCACCACTGAGTGCATTAGGAATTATTGGCTGTTTCAATTTAATTGGTGATGCATTTTTAAGATGTAGGTGATTATTCAACATGCAAACAGAAGAAGGAACTGAAAGTTGTTGTGTACTGTGTATGCTCAACTTCCATAATTTTAGAACAATAATTCAAGAGGCGGTGTAAACCTACAGCACATTAAAGAAACAGAGCAAAGGAAATCTGCTTATCCATAATGCAAATTCTTTGACCTGTTCTTCTGTACCAGCGATGGGGAAGCATTTTCATCTCATGGGCCACATTATCTCCTTTGCACCACGAGCCACTGGCAATTGGGGCTAGAAGCAAAAGTGAGAAGAGCAATGAATGCTGATCAAGGGGTGTGGCCCAGGGAGGAGATGTGGCCATGGTAGAGTCCTGTGGGCCAGCTAGAGAAGACCTGCGGTTCCTTACACCTGCTATAATGCAACTATTTACTCAAAGCAACACCTCTCTCTCTGTGTTGTCTTCTTTGCTGACTTCAGTCCATTATTTTAATCTCCAAGTACATGTGCAGCCATCATAAATTACACACTTTTCTCCTATAGCAGGGTGGATGGGAACTTTGTTAACTTAGCAATAACATAATCCGGTTTTATTATGGCCTGTTCTTTCAAGGTTTATAAGCACTACTGAGAATACTTCTCTTTGAAGGTAAACAAATTCCTCACATGGACTTTTCTTACTCAGGCATTAGTGTTGCTTGGATACAGCTGGCATTATTCAGCAAACCAACAGCAAAGGCTGTCAGTGAGGCCATTTTGTTTCCCTGATTTATAAATGCATTATCTGTAAAACAAACAGCTCAGCCTTTTGCATGAACAAACCCCAGAGACAAACAAAATGTCACCTAATTAGCTTTTTACAATAGGTCCTGCTTTTCACTATTTTTCACATAACCGACAGGCACTTAACAACTTATAGCAGTTGTCAGCTCTTAACTATTAATTCCTTCTAATAATAATACACTACCAGTAACCTAATATAACTGGTAGCTTGTCTCCTACAATCAATTATTTCCAATTTCTATTGTGTGTTAATGCTGCAAAATATGAAGTGTTTCAGGATTCTAACATCTATCCAAAGATCAGGGAGCAGGCTTTTGTCTAGGTTTAGATACAATTGGACATCATTTTGAATCAATTGGACATCAATTGGATACAAGTGGACATCATTTTGGTGAACTGAACCCTTCACAGATACACTGTTTTTAACCACTGGTGTCAAATCTTTTGGTGTATAAATTTTACCAAATAAATAAAATTACTTGGCTGGAGAACTGCACTACAAAAATTCATGTGAATTTCAAAGGAGGTTGTTTCTTGATTCATGTGCTGCTTAAGAAGGTGTGAATCATATAGGTTCACCTTTAACTGCAAACTGAATTGAATTTCTCTCCCATTTCTACCCAAACATTTGCTTTCCCTCCATGTATTCACCTTACATCTTTTCAGATCAGGTGCCAGGGATCTTCAGATCGACAACTTTTTTGTGTTCTCACATTGCTTACAATTTCAAACGCAATCTATGGCAATCACAGTCAAAAATATCATAGTACTTCCGTAATTTGGTACATTCCTGGATTTCTTATTTTTTCAAACAACAACAACAACAACTCACCACACAAATCTATGGGATACTTCAAAATGCAAAAACAGGTATTTCTCACACCAACAGCTAGGAACATATTTCTCAAGAGATGCTTTATTGTAATCAAAGAGCTTTTTGTATCAAAAGAAAAGGTATCTACTTTCCTTTACCTAGCAGTTGTCATCTTTCTTAGAGTGGCTTACTTCTTCTCAGTCATTGCTCTTGAACATTTAGACAGAAAATGATCATGGAGATAGTTTGCTCATGTATTTTACTTTTTGTTAGAAGAGTGCTAATGTTGCTGGAATGTTTTCAAACATCGAACTCATTTTAGAAACCATTTTTTTAAAACCTGTGTTTTTCTCAATTTGTCAGTGTAGTATAAGCTTGCTTGCAAAGTATACCACACACCTCATATCATCTAATTGTGTAGCTATACTGAGTCAGGCCATTGGTCCATTTAACTCAGTATTGTCTTCACAGAGTGGCAGCAGTTCTCCAGGATTTCAGATTGAAGTCTTTCCCAGCCCTACTTTGAGATGGCAGGAATTGAACCTAGGATCTTCTGGACACAAAGCAGGTAATGTATTAATTTTATATCCCTCCCTGCCTCCCAAAGGAGCCATGGCTACCTTGAGCCATAACTCAGTGTGTTCTCACAGTATACAGAGGGCATAGAAGAGCATTGGAGAGGATGACAAGGAAGAAAATAGCAATTGGAAAAGAGTGGTAAAATGGAACTCACAACAAATGAAAAGAGTGCTGAGAGAAAGCAAAGGTCCCAGCCTCTAGTCTTAGGACACATGCTGTAGCTACACTACCGAAGCCATGCTGGGAACAACATGTATGCTGTCTTCAGTTCCATGATAAAAGAAGGTATTGTGAATTCCCTTTAAAATGTATTAAGTAAATAACAGCTATGGGTACGAATTCAAAATGACATGTTAAATGACTGTCCTGGAAAAACAAACATGAATATGCATCATATTCTAGCCCTAGGATAGCCAACCTGCTACACTCCAGATGTTTCGGACTACAAATCCCATCATCCCTAATCACTGGCCTTCAGGCTGATGCTTATAGAGCTGTAGACCAAATTGTTTGAAGGACACTAGCTGGCTACCCTCTGCTAGTCAATAGTACCTCACTACCACAGTCTTCCTAATACATTGGTTTTCAACAAGCTGATCTCATCACCATTTCTTTTTGCCATAGTTTGAGGTGTTTTTCCCCCCTTCCTTCTTCCTAAGAAGGACTAAGATTTATAGAGAAAGAAAAAATAAGTGACAATGGGAGAAGTCGGAGAAAACAAGAGGAGAAAGATAGATATATTTTTTCATTGATTTACTGGAGGATTTCTATTCCACTTTTTCAGCTCAAAATGACTTATCAAAGTGGAGAACAATACTTTAAAAAAGCACACCCCAAAATGCATTGGACCATCAAAGCAAAAAATATAAATTGAATTCAGCTGCATTATCTTAACAGCAGGGAGATTTAATGCAAACCAGACTAAACTGCATCACAGTTAAAGGTCAAAAGACTGCTTAAATGTGAGGGGGGATTTGCTGGGCAATGCTCCCAGCTCTGATTATTCAATTGCTGTGCCATCCACTTTGCTACCTGAGCGGCTTTTTCACAAAAGGAGTAAGGTCTCAGACATGTGGTTAAGATCCCTCCGACATTTGTGGGATTGAAAAGCCATTGGGGATATCCCAAAGCTGTCAGGGGTGGTCCAGAATTCCTGAGTCAATATACTGTAACTGTGGTAGCCTTGTTTATTTATAGGCATCTACAGCCCATGCTTCACCTTGTGGTGCTCTTAGTTTGGATAATTAATGACTATATTTTTTATATTCCACCAGAAATATGTTTGGCCCTTTAGAGCAGCAGATCCCTACCCTGAGATGCTTACAATGAGGAGGGTGGAAGAGATAGTGGAGGGCAAAGACTAAGATTATTATTCTCTATGTTCTATCTTTGTTGGTTCATTTGTCCCTTGTAATGGTGGTGGTAGGGTCCTTTCCTGGAGGATGTCTGTGTGTGTGTGTGTAAATTCCACATGTCTTTCAGGTGCAGGGGTTGTTGAAAAAACATGGGTGGTTTTCTTTTCTTAAAAATAAAAATAAAGCAAGCTAAATTGATATTTCAAGCAGCTGTGGCTGCTAAGCCCTTTACAAATGACAGATAAAAGGTCTCTCAAAGCAATGTCACATGATGATCTTTCCTTGACCTTCCTGGGGGAAAGAGACTGGGGTCAGGCATTCAGAATCCTTTACTGCCCAAACCACACCCCTGCTCCACACC